CTATTAAATATTGAAAATGTACGTCACTTTAGACATTTTATGTTTTTTTTTTCTAAAAAGAATGTGTTTTAATTTTATTTCTTCAAATTTCACGTTTAATGCTAAATATACTAATTAAAACTTATAATAGCAGTAGGCCTACCCCAGTGTAATGATAAATCACATGATGTGACGGGGATTAGTGTTGTCCTTGTGCAATATTGTGATGGTGGTAAATGTGTTTTATAATCTTATAATAATAAAAGTGAAACTCGATAATCAAAAACAATTTGTTGTAATGTTACAGTTTTTATACAAAATACAAGTATTTATTATGCAAACACATTGTTTGTATATTTACACTTAATATGGCCATTACTTCATTATTCAGTCATATCTTTAGTCCTGGTTGTTATTATATTTTTTCATCAAAATAAATTTTTTGTTTAGGTAGAAATCTTTTTCCTTAATTAACGAACAATATTCTTTTTCCTTGTAATATTGCCGAATTGTTTGGCGATCAGCCATTCATTCTTACTTTTATTCAATCACAAAGCTAGTAAATATACAGGATAAAAAGGATGACAAGTTTATAGACACAATTTTTCCAATGCAATTTGTCATCTCAACTCCACCCTTTTCAGCTTTGGTCGTCGCAGCTTAAACCATAGCCCCATTAAAAGCATTGCCTCATTTTGATATACAACTGCTATAATACAGCAATCAAGTGAATAACGTATTTTAATTTTACATTTCGTAATATTTTTTGAAGTTTTAAATAATATAACACTGGATAATACAACGATATTGTGCCATGAATCATATGAGAAGTATATACGAGTAATTACAAGTATTTTGGAACCAAGTATATAAGTATTGCTTAATATTATTTTACTACATGTATATTACATCAAGCTTTTCGCCCATCACCTACTAAGAGTAATAACTCCCACTAGTACGTTTTTAAACAAATCAAACACTTGATAGATGTTGAATAGCTTTACCAAGAAATTAATTGTTTAATTATCGAATGGTTGGCTTCTAATTTCAATGACTTAACGAGAAATTCAACATCGCTGTCAAAACGATATTTAACACGCTTTCAATTTTATTGAACAAGAGACTTGTCAAAAGTAATTTCCACCTTAAAAAATTTATTTTATTTTCCTAAGGTAATTATGCATTTTTGTGATATTTTAAATTTATTTAATTCGAAAAAAAATTAATTATGAACGACATATTATTCAGCTTACAAAAGTTTATTTTTGATATATATACAGGGTGTCCCGGAACTCTCTACCAATATTTTAGGACATTGATTCTGGGTAAGAAACGTACCTAAATATCATATTTAAATTGTCCGGAAGTCCTTAGTTACTCACACAGCCGCCATTTTGTTTTTTTAAGTTATTATTTTTTTCTAAAGAATGGTTAAACATACGAAATGGAAACTTTGCACAAGCATTTATGACAACTAGACAAAGCTACAAAAAAATTATGAAGATTTTTCAAATTCATAAAACAAAATGGAGGTCATTTAAAATTTTCTTTCTTAAATAACTAAAAAACCATTGATTTTACAAAAAATTTAAATGGCCACCATTTTGTTTTATGAATTTGAAAAATCGTGATAATTCTTTGGTAGCGTTGTCTAGTTGTCCTTAATGTTTGTGAAAAGTTTCCATTTCGTATGTTTAACCATTCTTTAGAAAAAAATTAAAAACTGAAAAAAACAAAATGGCGGCTGTGTGAGTAACTAAGGACTTCCGGACAGTTTAAATATGATATTTAGTTATGTTTCTTACCCAGGATCAATGCCCTAAAATATTGGTAGAGAGTTCCGGGACACCCTGTATATAATAAATATAAAGCCAAAAATTAATAATATTAAGGCTACCAACATAATTAATACTAGTTTTAAATGGAATGGACTAATATAAATCAGGTAATTCTTCATTACTTTACGTTTGTAAAACTTATAAATATTGTAAAAATTGAAAACTGTTGTACCATGTAGTACCATGTAGTTATTTTATGGAATAATTCCTTTACTCATTCCAAATACCACCCTACCGCGTGTATTTGTTTAAGAAAATGCCTACTTCAATTCATGTTACACATTTAATAAAATTACCTTGAGACCAAGCTTTGCTCAAGGAAAATCATTAGTTTACTTTGAGATCAGTCTTAGTATTGCAGATACGTTAATCCAACTGCCACAAACGGTTCCAACCCTCCGCACTGCTCGCCTTTACTACTTCATTCACGACTCCCTACCTCTTGGACGTGTTTCCCTTCCTTATCATAGCATTTTAGTATTGCAGAAACATTGATCTAACTGCCACAAACGGTTCCAACACTGCTCGCCTTTACAACTTCCTTCACCTCTTCCTACCTCGTGGACCTGTTTCTCTCCCATCCTATAGAATTTAAGTATTGCAGATACGTTAATCTAACTGCCACAAACGGTTCCCACACTCCGCACTGCTCACCTTTACTATTTCCTTCACAACTTCTTACGTTTTATAAACTTTCTATTGTGTCGTTTCCCTCCCTTCCCATAGAATTTAAGTATTGCAGATACATTTATCTAACTGCCACAAACGGTTCCCACACTGCTCACCTTTACTCCTTCCTTCACCACTTCCTACTTCGTGGACATGTTTTTCTCTCCCTTACTCATTTTAGTATTTCAGAAACGTTAATCTAACTGCCAAAAACGGTTCCCACACTCCGCACTGCTTACCTTTACTACTTCCTTCACAACTTCCAACGTCGTGTACCTATTTCCCTCCCCTCCCTTAAATTTACGTATAGCAGATACATTTATCTAACTGCCACAAACGGTTCCCATACTCCGCACTGCTCACATTTACAACTTCCTTAACCTCTTCCTACCTCGTGGACCTGTTTCCCTTCCTTCTCAGAGAATTTAAGTATTGCAGATACGTTAATCTAACTGCCAAAATCGGTTCCCACACTCCGCACTGCTTACGTTTACTACTTCGTTCACCACTTCCTACGTCGTGGAACTGTTTCCCTCCCTTCCCATAGTATTTTAGTACTGCAGATACATTGATCTAACTGCCAAAGATGGTACCTTATTTGAACGACCAAATAGTTAATATAGTAAAATAGGAGAAAGCCAAGTTAATTCAGCATTTGATTAGAAGTATTTCCCTCTATATCGAGTAATCTTCAAATGAAAAATAAAACTCTCCAACGAGTAGTGATTATTCTATTTATAATACTTTCATTCTATTTAACTTGTAGACTTTTTGGTGAGACAAGTTATAGTTATAAATATTTTATGTACAGTATTAGTAACTCCAAACACGTAATTCTTATATGAAGTAAATGGGAGAGTTATAAAATCGTTGTTAACGTTAACACAAACCACTAAATGTACTACCGTACTACTTAAAAAATTATGAGTAAGCACAAAGCAAACTACAATAAAGATAAATCAAACAAAACAATTGTCCCAGATATAATTTGAAATTGTATTTTAAAAGGACAAAATATCGTAAGCATTAGTCAATTTGACTTTCATATTATTATTGCGTAAAAATAAAACATTCATAAATGCTGATATAGATACCTTGATAACTAATCAGCTCTTATATGGTAGGAAAAATTAGAATCGTTGTATTGTAGGTGTGTTTCTTATAGGGTATTTTGCGTTGACAAAGATTTGATGCATTAAGATCAGTGTTTGCCCTTTAAATATCAAAATCCTTTCGTATAAGACGCCAATGGTAAAGCACCTAAAGAATACAAGGAAATACGTATAAGGTTTTTTTTCATTATTGCGGACAGAAAGCTATTTTTTTATTGCAGTTGATATCAAAGAAAGTAATAAGTAAACAAACACTAGCACGCGTAGTGGGAAAATAAATTGCAAGTAAATTAAAATTAGCTGTTTTTACTCTGTAACAATACAAAAATGATAACAATAATATGCATACGCTTGTGTTTTTAGCGAATTTCCCATTTAGGGAAATACCCTAAGACCCTTAGGCGATACGAAGTTCGCCGGGTCAGCTAGTATATATATATATATTTGTGCGTGTCCGTTAGCGCGATAACTCGAGCAAAAATGATCCGATTTTGATGAAATTTGGTACAAACGTGTAAACCTACGTTTATTCGAACGAGTTCGCGATCCAGCATAATCGGACCATGGGAACAGGGGTTTATGTGGTTTTATGGGGTAAAAATGTGTTTTCCCATTTATTACCCTAAAAACAAAAAATTTTGCAATTTCTTTCTAAGCCGTTTTGTAGAGCTTAAAAAAAAGAAATAATTTAGTATATTGAACCGCTGTTGTATGCCTAACGGTCACGGAGAAAATTCAAAAATAGTTTAATTTAAAATTCCCATGTTATTCTTATGGAGAAAATAAAAATTGTTGTAGTTTACTTGTTTATGGATATATATTGATAAAATTTGGCAAATTTATTTATTTCATCCCATACTATTCACGTATGATCAAAAAAAACACTTTTTACCTTCCCCGTAGCAGCAAACCTAAGCACTTGTTAAATCTAATGTTATTTAAATAGGGAATAAATGTGTCTTATTTATGGAAATATTTGAGTAAAAATGTAATCAGACAAGTTGAAATTCGCTTAGTCTGCAGGTTTGCTGTGGCGGGGGTATTATTGTATAGTGCGCGTTTACTCCACAATGAACAAAACCTTAAACTTAAGCATAATATTTACGTTGTGATGTAAATTTGCTATAATCATTATAATTATATTTTCATATTCAAATAACGCAAAGAAATTAATTATTTTAATTTTGCTGAGATCTGTTATTCTGATGTGAGTATATTTTGGTCGTTATTGAATTTATCATTTACAGTTTGTGTCGAAAGTGGTTTTTCGGCTCTTGACCCAATTATTCGGCTTCACAACGCACGTTAAATTCGGTGTTCCTGTGTTCGGCTTTTCCTCACGCGTGAAACTTAAAGCGCGCACCGGAAAATGCCAATTTCGGTACTCTACAATAATGAAACCTTTTTCTGGGTAGAAACCAAATCGTTTATTCCTTTTCACAATGTATAATTTTAATAAGATGCCAATCTAATTTTATTCCCTTAGGTATTTTTTGTTCCCACTGCCTTAGGGACTGTTGCTGCTCCATCCGTCTTTTTTTGTTCCTTTGCTGCGTCTGCACTCTGGGGGCCTACGGATGTTTCTCCGGATGTTTTAAGATCATTCAATGTTTCAACTATTTTTGTGTCTTTAGCTATGTCTCCCAACGTTATGGGCGCTATGGGTAAATCACCCGCCTTCAAAATGTCATCAAGGGTGTTCAAGAATTCCGTGCCTTTACGTTCTTCCACTTTTTTGTCATCTTTAGTTGGATCTTCCTTATTAGGTGGTTTGGCTTCTTCGTCCTTTTTAGAGTCTTTGACTTCTTCCACCCTTATAGTCCCGTCGTTAAGGAAGTCTCTACATACTGGAAAGTCAACCGGTGGAAGAGGGAATTCTTCATGTTCTCCTATTTTGAAAGCTACAGCCATCCCCTCTTCTACGTGGTACTCGATGTGGCAATGGAACAACCAGTATCCTAAAATTAAAATACGATTATTAGTTTTACATTATCAATAAGAAACAATATACAATACTTTGCTTACATGATTTTGTATTTTTTTATCTACTCAATGTGCTTTGTCTCTACGACATCTTATCATTCAGTTGATCGGTTACGTTTTTCGTTTGACAAAAAAGAGATAATTTTTAGCATTCATAATGAGTGGAAGTCTACGATTAAGCAAAAATGCATGCAAATAACAGGGTTAAGGCTAAAATGCTGATGGTCCTATTTTACTGAGTGTTAAAATAAAAAGGATATTTATTGGACAGCATCAGAACAAGGAAAATTTGATAGTCGAGCACACAAAGTACTCCCAAGCAGTTTTAATTGACATGGAAGTTTTTTTAATTTCTTCACATAATGTAGGCCTACAGCTTTGTTTTATTTACCATAGTTTAAATCTTTTAAATTAATGCATCTTTAGAGGATTTTAGAGGATAATGCTATTGAATTATCCCTCATGAACCTCTCATCTCGTTATACACATTGTAACAGTCATAGGATTGTAAATAATTGCCTTGAAGATAATTTGAAGTCAAAACATTTAAGTTTAGGTTATAAAATAAATGTTTATTTTGAATCCATGTATATTCCGATGAAATAGTTATTGCGATTTCTATTTGTTGAAACATGATTCAATTTGTATTACATATTCATTTTGCACACTTTCACGTCAGGTAGTATCACTAAAGATATATTATTGGGATTTAAGAGTAAGTTTCAAGGGATTTGTGCAGTATTTTAAGATATTCTTAGGAACACGTACCTCGCATGATTTGTAGAGGGGCTTTTTTCATTGAGTAAATAATGCAATATTTTTTTTATTGAAGCACATTTAGATTTTTTTTATTAATTTCACCATGAGCCACTCATCTCGTTGTACACATTTTAATAGTCATAGGATTGTAAATAATCGCCTTGAAGATAACTTTAAGTCAAAACATTTAGGATTAGATTATAAAATAAATGTTTATTTTGAATGCATAAAAATTTCGAAAGGGGGTCAAGCAGACAGGGTAGGAGATTGTAACAGCGTCCTTAGTTGTATTCGGTGTGTATCTAGTTGAACTACTTACCTACACGTCTCACCATATTATAAGCGTAACACGCGGAACTTTGCAACTAAATATTCAACTTAAGATTAACTATCCTTCAGAAGACGTTCCATTTATATGACTGAATTTTAGCATGTTTTGAAATAAACAAGGACAGAACTTTGATTTTTATAATGATGGGTTCTGCTGCTATACACAGTTTTTTTTCTTATAACTAAAGTAATCTTTTAACTCAAATCAAAATCAAAATATAGTTTAGCTTTACTAATGCACTTTTATGTTACCATCAATAATTATCATAGTATGACAATCAAAGGAATGATTCGTAGAAACTTTTTGAGAATCCTCTTAAACTATGTCCAAAACAATGATAGAATTACATTTACTATACTGCTGTTTCAAATTTCAGCAATTTTATATCTCCTACAACTATTATACATTTTTAACATATAAGCTAGTGCACTCTAAGGGTTGGCATGGATTTAAATTAATATTCAACCCAATACACTAGTCAATGCTAGTACGCTTTGGTGAGATGGTTCTGTACTTCATACATTGTTGGCTTTAATTTTTTACATTGGATAGGAAGTATACTACTCTGTGTATAGTCAATGGATTTAGCCTACGTATGTCAGTTTATTTTGGCAGATACCTGGATTGTTTGCGTGGAACCGCAGTATAGTGTAGCCTCCGTCAGGCACAGTGACGGTGTCTTTATACGGAGGGTTATCCAGATTCCTCACCAACTTCTTCTTCTCGTCCAGACTCTTGACAACGTGTACCTTGGTTTGATTTCCCAGTCGGTCCATCCCAACCACGCGGAACGCGTAGCCGTGGAGGTGAAATGGGTGGTTGGCATTGTAGGTTTGGCCTTATAAAATAACAAAATTATTACATAATTTTTTAAAATACATTTAAGCTTTGAAATATAGCTAACATTTATTGTTGATATAGCAATATTAGATATATGGTTAGCAATATAAGATTGTCCTTATGTTTGATTTTGTGTGTTTTTACGCCAGTGGCATTATTTTAGTTTTGAAAGGGAATGGTCCAAACCCTTAGTCTTGTTACTATCTAACGTCGACCTTTTTGTTAGATAGCATCATTTCATAGCCCAATGACAAATGGCATCTGGATCTGGAAACGATCTCGCATGGATTCGAACCAGCGACCTTCAGATTTGAAGGCAAGCACTATAACCACTCGGCTACCAGACTTATGTTGTTATCAATCTTCTATACTATTATATAAAAATCTAGTGGCGTCTGTCTGTATGTGTGTTACTAATCGGCGCATAAACTACTGAACTGACTGGGCTTAAATTTAACAAAAATATAGCTACCATACCAAGGACCATTATAGGACTATTCACACTTTGATACTGAGGCGGTTGATACTGACCTTGGGCTTTGTCCCTTTGGCTTTAAAAGTTCTGAGGTGAAGATTTTAAAAGTAAATATTGATTGGTCTCCATGGCTACTATAAGAACACATGCAATGTTGGCTACCATAAGAACACATGCAATGTTGGCTACCATAAGAACACATGCAATGTTTGCAATTTGCTATGCCACCCAAATGTAAACAACTTGAACTGTCAAACTACTTTAATTCACAATTCCACAGCTGGTTTATAAATCTAATATATAAAATTCTCGTGTCACAGTGTTTGTCTGCAAACTCCTCCGGAACGACTTCACCGATCGTTATGAAATTTGGTGTGTAAATTCTGTAGGTATGCGAATTGGACGTAAACTATTTCCCGTTTCGAAATTCTTAAAAGGGCTCCGCCCCAGTGGCTCTGGAGTTTCCCATGTTAACCTTATGAGAAATGGAATTAATGAATCTTAACAACTGTTTCAATTAAACAAGTTGGTTCTGTTCTATGATGTTCAATAGCATTAAAGTTACAAGGATTACCAACAGGGTGCAGCACTATTATTTCTTTTACATTTATGACAACAGCTAATTTGCAACCAAAAGGTGAGTGAGCGTAGCGAACGAACTTCAACCTGGAGGCGAGTTAGCGTAGCGAACGAGCTAACCTGAAGGCAAGTGAGCGCAGCGAACGAGCTCCAACCTAAAGGTGAGTGAGCGTAGCGAACGAGCTCCAACCCAAAGGTGAGTGAGCGTAGCAAACGAACTTCAACCTGGAGGCGAGTTAGCGTAGCGAACGAACTAACCTGAAGGCAAGTGAGCGCAGCGAACGAGCTCCAACCTAAAGGTGAGTGAGCGTAGCGAACGAGCTCCAACCCAAAGGTGAGTGAGCGTAGCGAACGAACTTCAACCAGGACGTGATTGAGCGATGCGAACGAGATCATCTTGAAAATTAAACGTAACGGTACTTTCTTTCCATCGGTCTGTCTTAGGGGAAACCTATAACTTAGGCGATACGAAGTTCGCCGGGTCAGCTAGTAGGCATATAATATTCTCTACAATCATGTGTTATGTTTATTTATTCTTATATTTGATGGTTCATTGATTATTGATTTTATGAAATAAGTGAGATTGTATATCTGTTGCTGTATCTAACCCTAATTAATTATTTAAAATTTCGCTAATGTGAATGATTCTATTGAAAGATTTTGGGGTGTAAAAAATAGTGAACTATAATGTTCACAATTACTTGAATCATTTTGACATTTTTGAACACTTAATATTTTTGCCATTTTGTGAGAAATATTACCATTTGCCTTTTCACAAATTGTTTAATCATAATTTCATATTACTACCCATAGATTAGTTATGATGTTTTCTAATCCAGAGGTAGCTACTACCTACCTATATTATAACATTTGACACTTCCTGTAGATTTCACATTCTATTCTAATAATTAATAACTTTTTACGAGCTTTTCATGGTCATTACATATATTTTCAACCAAGTTCCTCTTAACTTAACCTACCCTTGACATAAACATTGTTTGAATGACGTCAAATTTCCTAATTCTAAGCTGATATACAAACATTTCAATTTAAAACCAACAATAGTAGGAGCTATAAATAGTAGGGCTAAGTATGTTTCTGTTTGTTTAAGTAGTAAGAGTGTTAATGTTTTTGTTTGTTCACATAGTATATAATGAGATGTTTTTATAATCAATGCTAAGTGAGCAATGCTTTTTAGAAGCAAGATCACATGTTTCATTTCATTCAAACCGTAATATTAACCAGATATTGTAAATTATTTTTTGTCTATGTTTAATTTTACCATTTAAGAAAAGTAAAAGCTTTGAGTTTTTTATTTGTTTTTTATCATGTAAATGGCATATTTGAAAATGACGATTGTGATATTTGATATAAATATTTTTATAATTACGGTGGATATTATCCGTAAAAGGCGTAAATTACCCAAACAAAAAACCGCTTTTAATTTATTTTGATATTTCATCGTAAAATTAAATTAAATTCACAACTTGGGAGTGTTGCAGTTATAATATGTCTAAATTATTATAAATGAACCAAAAGGCTAGTGATTTGTAACGTTTTAATCCTTTTTAATATCTATTGCACAGTATCTTGCAATTTCCATTACTAAGACATTTTCCAAAGGACGTTTACATAACAGTTCACAAGCTGTATCTGTTGTGATCACAGCCTGTATATAGATCCTAATGTGATTTTGCCACCAAATAAGTGAGTGAGCTGGTCTATCGGTAGAGTGTGGGACCGTGGTCCCCGAGGTATAGGGTTCAGATACTGCCAGTCACCATTGGATATTTTCTAAGTCATAATGCCACAACCGTCTAGATCAGCCTCAAGTAATGAAAATAAATATTTTGGTCCTACCGTCAAATAGTTTATTTCCAAGTAGGAAACGATATATTAACTACTTATTCTGATTTCTAATGAGTTTTTAGTTTGAATCAAAACTATTTTCTTAAAATGTATAACGACACATATATTTAAATTTGTTTCCAGAATAACACCATTTCTCACTATAATTGCTACTATACTGTACTTCAAGTGACCTTTGTCGATGAGGATGAGCTCGACGTTACTGTTGAGAGGCACGTTGATGATGTTAGCACACTCGCAGTACTCACTCCTACAGTGGGAGAGATCCTGGGAGGAACACAACAAGTCCTGAGGAACGTCTTTGTACTGGGACAACAGAGGAACGTGGGGCCACTTGAACGTGACGAAATTGAACTGAGGGGTGTATCTTCTGTATGTGGAGTTGACTGGAACAATAAGGCTATGTTAAATAAATGTTATTCGTTTGAAAGAATCTTTGTACGTTTTGTGTATTAAGTTAAAACTAGGGGCCGATCTGCTCTAGTGGTACAAGCCTCGGTCCCGGGCTCAGCTCCTGCCGATAACCAATGGATTTTATCTATGTGATAATGCCACGACCGTAGTTTGCAATACTACGAGCCTAGCCTTAAGTAAGGTGTTTTAGGCTTTATCGGGTCACGGGTACTTCCGGGCCTTTTTTACACAGAATGGGGAAGGCTGCCAGCCCGGACTGTCTGTACTGCCCTGGCATTACAGTGGTGTCAACACGGCCGAGTACACCTTCTTCTTTTGCGACAAATGGCATGTCCGCCGAGGGTCCTTGATCTCTGAGATCGGCGTCAATATTACTCCAGACAACATCGTTAGAGCTATGCTCCAGGGGGAGGGAACCTGGAACTGTGTAAAACAGTTCATCGAGGCCATACTTCGAGATAAGATGGTCGATCTTGATCAGCCTTAGTTTTCTGAGGAAACTAGAAGGAAAGCCCTAGTAGCATAGTTTTAAAGGCCTAGCCCGAAGTAAAGCGCTAAACAGTTCCAGGTTAGTGTCCTAGGAGATGAGGGGTTTTTTTAGCCGGTAGTCCGGGGACAATGAGCCCGCGGGACTCTGACACTACTGAGAGGCCACTGAGCATCTCAGTGTGAGTAAATGCATTTTTATCTCCTCCCCATAAACAAAAAAATGTTTTTGCAGGTTCTAGCCTATCTTCATAAAAAACCTACCCATATCGCCTAAAGAATATTTACAGTGTTTAAATGCTGTAATGTAATTTTGGTTACATTTCTCAACCGAAGTCATCTAAACATTACCCATTGTTAATTGGTACGTAATTCCAGATTTAAATGTTATTTTTATTAAGAGTGCACCCTTTTAACTTGTGTACCAATTGTAATTGCCTAAATTGTTTACATCTGAATGTATAAAAGATTATAAAAGGCATTACAATTAATTACCCTTTTTTCCTATAGCTTTACTTGAACCTCGGTTAATAGAATACTGTCAAAGAAATGATAATCATTTTGGTTAGGTTTATGCGATATGTATACCAATTAATGGCTCCTATATAATAACTCAAAATGATTCATGCAAATAAATTCAACATTACTATAACAACATTTTAAATACGATGCAGTTAAGGCACGATTCAACCTGAACATGAATAGGAGAAGAGAAATGAGGTTATAATACTTGCTGTGGATTTATTACGGACTGAGACCAGGTGTTTCTAGAGCTGAGCCATTCTATTTATAAACTTATTATTAGGTAGAGTACAACCCCAATTCATTGGTTTTTATAATAGTATATGCTGACCAGACGATTAAAATCACACATATACTTTCCCAATTTTGTTCAATTTAAAGCTGATTCAAAGCTGTACACAATTAAGTCATCTCCTTTTTAGTATTAAGAAAAGAGTATGTGTATCAGTTACCCCTTAAATGTTACCTTCTTTGAAGCGGTAGCCCCCCTTGTGGTAGGCGGGATGATCTACAGGGTTGAAGTCATAGGAGAGCACCACCTGGATGTCCGGCTTCTCACTCACCAGAACTCTGTCCTGCGTCTTGTTGGCGGCCTGCAGGTTGGGAACACTGATGGTGTTGGGCTCAGTGATCTTCACGTTTAAGGGGTTAAGTCGCTGTAATAAAAGTGAAGCTTTAAGGCACCAGTTAAGGGGATCACCTATACTGGTTAGATTCAATGGGAGTTTAAAACCGAAGGAGCGTCATGTATGTCTTACAAATTGTACAGTTAACTCAATTCATCAAATAAATGAAACGGATAGTTCTCTCGTTTCTTACATTTTTTGAGCAAAAGGCAGTTTATAACAATCTTTTTCAAAAACCTTATTGTGTTAATAGAACACCAACCTGTTGTTGGAGAGAACGTTACCGACGAATAGCATAATGCAGCAAAATCAATCCTTTCCAGAGGCTTTAAAATATTATCCAGTCAAATAACCCCATAAGTATCAAATATGTAAGATGTGTACAACCAGTCAGTGTTCATTTTCTTTGTAAAAACTATATTAGTTTTGAAACTAATGCATTCTAGTTATGCGTAACCTTCAACTAACTAATATCTTAACAGAACTTATGGTGAGGTTAACAAATATTACGTGTCCTCAAACCACACACCTCCTGTCAGAGTGAATACCTTATCAACTGAAAACTAAATAAATTGTGTTTAAAAGTCTTTATTGGATTTTACTCATCAATCTAGTAGGTCTATGACATTTAGAAGATCCTACCTATTAATGGATGTGTACAACCTTCCCTGCAATTAATAAGCATATGAAGAGGGAAAATGTGGTAGGAGGTTTATATGTTAAATATGTGGTCAGAAATAATTAGAAATAGTTTAGGAATTCATCCGACTAAGGTATTCAAACCCTCTTAAAATAGCCTTTGTATTAAATTATACATTTTTTCATTGAAGCCCTACGAATTTCCAACTTAAAGTTATATAATGAAAAGTTCGACATTAAAGCTCTTAGCTTAGAGTATTACCCTACCATGGTATATTTGGGGTGCAGGCCGTACCCCACGGGCTCGGTGGGCTCCACCTCAGGGGCACCATCGTAGTGCAACACCGCCACTTGGTGAGCGCTGGTGAATCTGTCATCACAATCCATGAGCCCAGTGAAGCGGATCCAGTAGTTGGCCACCTCTTGGTCCGCGTTCAACACAAAGTCCCACCTCTCGCCAGCGTACGACACTAGCGAGTCCGCTGGCAAACAAACAAACATGTTGTGAGGAAAGAGGGAAATTTTGTGTTTGTGTTGAAATTAATTGTGAGTTATGTTAATCCCAGGCATTTCACACCGATTTTTAAAGAGATTTGAGTCCTCTTTTGACATTAAATTTGCTTGCCTACAAGGTTCGTAAGGAAATTAGCTTGAAACATATCGAGCAAAAATGGATAAATCAGCAATGATAAATCTATGTTTATATTCCGTTGACAAAATTTAGGTGATTTTTGAAGTGAAGCGACTCCATCCCGTCCTCTCGCTCCAGCTGTTTAAACAACAGCCCACAGCTGAGCAGCTGGTAAACACATTTAAGCTATAAAAATGTTAGTGACCATTTTACCAAAGAAACCTTCCCCTTGAACTGCCTAAATTTTGGGAACGGCCTAAATGATCAATGCTTGAACACGAACCCACTACATCACTACCTTGGTCCCGCTGTGCGTTATGCAGCCAACTAACCCCACCGACTCACCCTGATACAGTTCACATTTTTTTAAAGTGTCATTAAGTAAGCAATATTTAATTTTTGTTGTGGCTTAAAGACACAAGGGTACTCCGTGATACCACTCAATAAATCAAAGACATCTGTTTAATATTAGATCATTGTCAAAAAATAGAATGGCATTTGACCACGTCTAGTTCTCTGTCACAAATATGTTGTATGAGGGTTAAGAAATGCTACAATTACTTTTACAATAAACTCACCAACGACAGGATCGAAGTCATAGCCGTCAGTCGCTATGTAGGTGACATTGTGTTTGTCTATGTACATCTCCACAGGACAGTTCATAACACCAGAATTGATCAGTCGGAATCTGTACCTCGTTCCCTGTTCCATCATACCAAAATCAAGCTTAAACATGAATTTATACTAACATGTTTGATTCTCATTCAAAATATGTCATAGAAATATTCATTTTGGACCTTTTTTTCCAAAATAAAATACTACTCTTTACTTACGAGGTTACACAGGTTTGTTAAGGTTTCTTAACTAAGTATTTTAGAATCATAAAATGTACCTTATGACTGTTTCTATCAAGTTTCTATCACATGAGGGCAGATACAAGGTAATTTGAACTTTTTCACAAATTAAATTTTGAGTTTTATTTAGTTCTCTGTGATATACATATATAAATAAAAACACTAAAAGGTATAAAATTCAATCGTCAGTCAGTCAGTAATTTAAATATTACATATAATATTTAAATATTTAAAAAGTTACACTTAAACTAAAGAAAAGTATACTTGTTATATTTTTTCTGCTTTGCTTGCACTCAGGAAGGATCTCTTCACTAAAGCACATTGAGACCATGGTGTTTTGTTATGGACACACCAATGTATCTTACGATAAAAAACAACTCATGATGTTTTCAAAATTGTATTTGTTTCTACAATATTAGTTCAATAAATTATATTAAAAATACATGTGACATGATGAAATAAATATTTTATATTGTTTCTATAAGAATGGCACATAATCACTGTAAGATTCTTCCCTCGATGATTTTTAGAGAGAAACGAGGCCTATATCGTAACCAGGTATATTAGAAATACTATTGAAAATCACGTTTAAATGGGTTCCCTAGTTTTTGGTTAGCAACCTTTGAGTAATGCTAACAGGTGTAAACATTTGTTCAAAAGTCTGTTATCGTAGCTGGACCATTTGGGTGCTGTGATTTACATAGGAGATGACTGAGTAAGCTTCGGGATGGAGCCGAAATAGACAGTCTGATGGCAGTGATATGAATCAATCTCAACCAATCAATAATAACTAGTGTACATGTTGCTCGAAATCGAGCAATTGCAAAGTATCACAGGAGTTATTTCAAAACGAATAACAGTCATATTTACAATAAGTTTAAAAGAGTCAACTCAAAGATTACCGGTGTGTAAGTCAGACCATGTTTATCTTCGTTATTGATAAACCTAAAGCATTCCGGCCGGTTTTATCCTTCTCAAAGTGCCTCGCTGAACAGGCAACACAGGTCATTGATAGAGGGCCAATTGAGAACGAAAAGTCGTTTTGGGGTAGTATTAGGGCGCATTTGTAACCTAATAGTTGAGATTGTCCAGGGTCAGGTGCTGACTGTGATGAGTTAAGTCTATTACGCGCCACTGTTCTGTAGCTGCGGTCGTTATCACGATTACGCCTCCTGTCTATGTTTCGTTGTCGTCGCGTCGGAAGCATTAAAAAGAAAAAAAAAGAAAAAAAAACAAATTATAGCTACACAAAATAACGATAAATGCACACATTTAAGTTACAATCATGCTAACACGATCCGTCATAGCGACACAAAACAAAGATAAATCACAAATTGAAGATACAACCATACTAACACGATCCGTCGTGGGGGTTATGTTTACACAAACTCAAATAGTAAATAAATGTACTCAATGCGTTTCATTGTATTGAAAAATAAATAACAGCAATTAAATTATACAGCTGATCAAAATGTAAACAATTATGTTCTTCATAAGGATAACATGGGAACTTTCAAAGCCACTGGGGCAGAGCCTAAGCGATTTTTTTCAAAAATGTAAGGCCAGTTTGCAAATCTACGCGACACGGTCTTTCCAATGAGACGTCAATGGATAAATTCGGTTAAGAAATGGTGGAGGAGTTCAACCGACAAAGTTTCATGTAGCGTATTAATTATATAGATAGTGTTTGAATTATCGGAAACAATAGAGTATATCTACACTGGCTAGGGTTACATAAACTGAAATTATTCATTGAGAGGGAAGCTAAATTGATCCGTTATTCCCCCCAGATCTGAATGCCTGAAGCCTGATCGCAAACGTTGCATAATATGCACCACAGGACAGCATAAGCAAAGCATGCTTATACAGTCAAGTAGGATCAGTCCATGAGCACAGACAATGCAGATTAGGTCTGGTATTCAAAAAAGCTTGGAAACGACCAAACTGAAACAATTTTTATTTTCATAGAAATTTAACTGATTGTACTTAATTTTAATTATGAAAATAAGTTTTGCGGATTAATACAAATTGTTACATAGTGTATTATGAAAAAATGCATTAGTGAACTATTATTTTTTTTTTTTTAGATGTGGACATTTGAAACTATGGTTGTAAATTTAGCCTATTGGTTTACTATATATGCAACTTTTATTGGTAACATTTTTCACATTAATTTCATCAAAGATTATAACAGTAAACGGGGTTTTAAGCCAAAAATTACTTAAAGTTGTCATATCGGTTGAATATGAAAGCTCTCTAATGACAAGAAGTTTATAGTCACTTATCACGTATCACATGTTTTTTTTTTATTTTATTTTATTTTATTTTTTTACTTATACCTACAGAAGTTGAGACAGAGCTCCTAACCATCGAGTCCTGAAATACCTCAGCTGTTAATGCTTGGTGATACAAGGTTGTTTCAATCTACGTTTTCACTTTAGTTAGGTATACCAAACGGCAGGACCGTAAGCCAGAAAGATACCAGAAAGGACCGTAGCACAATACAAATATACTGTATAATGTTTCCTTTATTTTTCAATCTTGAATAGCTGAACATATTTTAATGATTGATAATACCTTTAATAATGATTGGAATTTGGTTGCACAATATATATATATACTATTTATTCTGTCTAGTCTAACTCTGCCTTCTGTTACCTTCTGAACTTTGAATACCGCAACAGGAGTGTTGGTCAAATTTTTGGAGTTTTTGTACCATCTTCCTTGTCCATTGACCAGAAAAACGTCTCCCTTATTGGTGCCAGTGCCCTGAAAAAGACAACACTTTTCACCTACAATAAGAACAAGTGTTTATCAAACAATTAACCACAGCTGGATTTATATGCGTGGGTATAGTGCTCAACAATTCAATAGGTCACCAGTCCGATGCTGAGAAAGTTCAGTAGCTTTTTGATTCGAAACTGGACCCAAATGTCATTGATCATTGGGCTTAAAAAGTTATACTGACTTATGAAGCAGATTGATCGTAGTCGGTACTGTTACCTCTGTAGCTGTTACCTGTGTTAGCTCTGTAGCTACTCAAATCAGCTTAATTCGTTCTACACTCTCCTTGCAATTATTTTCACCCAAAAACGCGCACACAAGTGTGTTTAGTTATCTCAAAGAATAATTGATAGCTGAGTTCAACATAAGTCTTACCTGAACGTGTGACACATATTTGTCCATACTGGACTGGTGCGTCCAGTCGTAGACTATCATGACGTGTTCAGAGAGGTCCTCGTTGTACAGATTTCTGTGGATGTTCACAGAGTCAGGAACCCGGACGATGAAGGCTCCGAAAACACCGTCAGCCCGTTGGACCCCTTAAAACAGATTTTAGGTTATAATTTTTCCTAGGTTACGCCATTAAGCTGTCCAAACCGTAGTCTGGTTGCCGATCGGTTTGGTTCAGAAGTATTCAGATTTGCTACAAATTCCAAGCAAATAAAGATGAAAAATACAGGATATGACGGAATAAATATTTTACTAGTGTACCTGTTGCTAACACAGTGAATTCTCATACTGGTGCAATATGCATCTTTCTGTCGTCCGATATCTCGAGAATTACTAAATATATCACAATATCTTGCAAACTTTCGTCGTTGAAGAATATTTGTTCAGTAGGTAAAACCATTTTTAATTTTGTACCATAAGATTAACATTATGAGCTACCTTTTTCTTCTTTTTATTTGTTTTTCCTTTTTACGACCTGCAATTTTGTCGTTTACTTGAGACAGAGAGAACGACTTAGCCACTTAACTCGTTCATCCATAGATAACAGTTATACAGTACCGTATTCACATTATAACTCTACAATTTCAGGAATAATAATGTGCGTATTTAGGAAAATTTAAAACGGCAGCGGTTAACAAAGAATCTACCGAAATTTATTGTAATTGTAAAAAAATGAATATTTACATGTTTATTCTACAGGTTACGTTACTTCAATTGGTTACGAGTACGACCACGGCCACCTTTAAGCCGATGGGTAAAGTCTACTATTAATTGTTTTCTAACTTGCTAAAAGTTAAGTTTTAACTGTTACTAATTAATACAGCTTCAGTATCTAATAGTCAATGGTTTTTAGTTCTTTTTGTTCTGGTTTTTCCTAAATAAATTTCAGTAAGGCATTAATGGTTTTCAGTTATCTATTCTGTGGTTCAAATTTTGCCCAAAAATATTTAGTTACTATACATTCATATTATTGTTAATACAACGACATAACATACAAAGATTTTTTTTATCAAATAAGGATTTTTTCATCTATATCTTTATTTCATCGGTCGTCTCCAACTCACTAACTCATAATCATAAATGAAATGCTGCATTTAGTTTAGGTTCATTCTGCTATTAATAGTACAGGTAAAATAGGGTTTTATAAAAAACAAAATTTGTACATTCATGAAATTTCACCCTGTGAGTTACTAATAATATGAGAAATGAAGGTCCGATAAGTCCCCAAAATTTTGGGCGTCCTAAGGCCCTTTTTGATCCGAAGGGCCCTTGTTCGTGAATAATTTTGTTTTTACGTTTAAGGTCGAGTGAGGTGTGGTTTTCGATGGTTTTAGTTATTTTAAATCGATTAGGACTAGTTTTAAGTCTATTAAACCACTCCATACAGGGTGTTTCGAAATATTATTACTTTTTACTATATTTAAACATTTATTCATAAAGTAATAAAATTAGTTACCTCCATGCTCTATATAAAAGGAGATTATTGAAAATAATTGTAATTCTTTACTACGTAAGGGGAAAGGATCACAAGGAGTAAGAGAAAATATAAAATACCCCCGTCACAGCAAACCTGCAGACCTAGCGAATTTCCGTTTTACTTACTTGATTTTCAATTAAATCTAAATTAGCATTGCGTTTAACGATTACCTAGGTTTGCTGCTACAAGGAGGCTAATAAAGTGTGTTTATAGTAAAATATTAATAGCATAGTATAAAACAAATAAATCTGACAAGTTTGATCAAGATTTATCTATTAACAAACAAACAAAATCATTTTACACTATTCTACGTAAGAATAACATGGGAATTTTAAATTTACAAATTTAGTATTTTTATCCGTAACTAATAACCATACAAAAACACGTTAATATACTAAATTATTTATTTTTAAGCTATTTTAAATGATCTAGAGAAAAATTGGGAAACTTTGTGTTTTGAGGGTGAAGTAAATGAGAAAATCCAATTTTTACCCCATAAACCTCGTTCCCATTGTTCAGGTACCGACAATGCAGCTCTGATGTCTTAGTGTTGTCCTGGTCGTCATAACCACGAAAGACAACCGTACTTGTATTGATTTAAAATAATTTTGAGGAAATTAAGTTACAAGTTGCAAACGTCTGTATGTGTGAAAGTTGTTTTTGCACCACATTTTTCGTGCAGATTGGTGTTGCCTGTTCTGCAATATGCAAGGTTTGTAAAGGGGAGTCCTGCTTGAACACCAACTTGGACAAAATCAGTAAAGATGGACAAGTTGCTAAGAATAATAAAATGGTTAATGAGTCGTCTGAGAATAATTATTGTGATGATGAAATTGTAAAGAGAGATAGTATGGAAATTGTAGAAAAATAGCTTTAGTTTAAGTATTTAATTTTAATATGTAAGGTTTTATACAAATACAATTGTTTTAATTGTTAATAAATGTAAAAAAAACGTAAATAGCTGCCTAAGAAAAATACACATCAATTTGAAATTGGTCTTCATAGATCTGCACGAAAAACACATTGAAAGATTATTCACACCTTAAAAGTTGAAATTATTGCGTAGTAACCTATGTTATTATGTTATAGTGTAAAACTTAATCCATCCCCTTTTAGCGAACTTCCCTTATAAGAAATAAGCTATTACCGAAGGTCCTATGGTAAAACATAGACCCGAAACCGATTTACGTTTTCATTTCGATGCCCCCAGAAGCCTAAAGGACCCTTAGAGGGCTGTTGTTTAGAGGGTTGCTAGATAACTCAAAATATTATATATTATGTGTTTATATACATACAGGGTGAGTTTTAAATGAGTTGCCCCCTACTTTTTCCTACATTTCTTAAGATATCAACTCCGGACCACGTCAGATCGTTGTAAAGTAGTAAGTACTTCATTTTGACTGGGTATAAACTTTTGGCCGCCATCTTGGATCCACCATATTGGATACAAAAATTTTTTTTCAAATGTAAAGGTAGAGTTGTGACCCATTAGTCCAAACTAAAATTTTACGGTGATTACAATGCCGCAAATAGTTGTTAAAAATCCTGATCTGTTCTAAAGTTATAAGGACTTTTCATAACTTTATTTTTAGCCCATTTTAACATTGTGCATTTACAAACTAATACCATAATCTCAAAATAGTGCTAGATAAAGATAAGTATACACCACCATTCATTGTCGACCTATTTTCACTTGGTTATGATGGATGTATTTTTTTCGGCCGCCATCTTGGATTCGCCATTTTGAAATGTGACAAATTAATTTAAATATGAAGGTGGTGTTGTGACCCATCATTTTCAACTACTTTTTTATGCTGAACTCAATGCTGCAATCCGTTTTTGGTTATCAAGCTTTCTTGATGAAATATTAAAATGATCTTATTTAAAATTTCAATAATTCAAAAACCAAACGTGCAAATGAAAAACTGATTGCGGCATTGAGTTCAGCATAAAAAAGTAGTTCGAAATGATGGGTCATAACACCACTTTCATATTTAAATTAATTGGTCACTTTTCAAAATGGCGAATCCAAGATGGCGGCCGAAAAAAATACATCCGTCATAACCAAGTGAAAATAGGTCGACAATGAATGGTGGTGTATACTTATCTTTATCTAGCACTATTTTGAGATTATGGTATTAGTTTGTAAATGCACAATGTTAAAATGGGCTACAAATAAAGTTATGAAAAGTCCTTTAAACTTTAGAACAGATCAGGATTTTTAACAACTATTTGCGGCATTGTAATCAACGTAAAATTCTTGTTTGGACTAATGGGTCACAACCCTACCTTTACATTTGAAAAAAAAACTTTGTATCCAATATGGCGGATCCAAGATGGCGGCTAAAAATTTATACCCAGTCAAAATGAAGTACTTACTACTTTACAATGATCTGACGTGGTCCGGAGTTGATATCTTAAGAAGTGTAGAAAAAAGTAGGGGGGGAACTCATTTAAAAATCACCCTGTATATAATATAATATATCCATGTTATATACGTGTCCGTAAACATGATAACTCGAGTAATTTTGGTTCAATTTTAACGAAACCGGCATAATCGGTCCATGGAACAGGGTTAAATTTTATGTGGTATAAATTTGTAATCTTTGACCCTCAAAACACAAAGTTTCCCAATTTTTCTCTAGAGCATTTAAAGAGCTTAAAGAAAACAAATAATTTAGTATATTAACGTGTTTTGTAAGTGTATTAGTTACGAATAAAATTAAAATTTTTAAATTTAAAATTCCATGTTATTTTAAGGAGAATAGTGTAAAATGATTTTGTTTGTTTGTTTGTAGATATGTCTTAATAAAACTTGTCAAATTTATTTGATTTATACTAGGCTATTAATATTTTACTATAAACACACTTTATTAGCCTCCTTATTTGTAGCAGCAAACATAAGTATTCATTAAGCTCAATGCTATTTTAGTTAATTGCAAATCGGGCAAATGAAAATTCGCTTAGTCTGCAGGTTTGCTGTGACGAGGGTATTTAATATTTTCTCTTACTCCTTGTGATCCTTCCCTCTTATATAGTAAAGAATTACAGTTATTTTCAATAATCCCCTTTTATATAAAGCATGGAGGTAACTAATTTTATTACTTTATGAATAAATGTTTAAATATGGTAAAAAGGAATAACATTTCGAAAACCCCTGTATGGAGTGGTTTAATACACTTAAAACTAGTCCCAATCGATTTAAAATAACTAAAAACATCGAAAACCACACCTCACTCGACCCTTAAACGTAAAAACAAAATTATTCACGACCAAGGGCCCTTCGGGTCAAAAAGGGCCTTAGGACGCCCAAACTTTTGGGGACTCATCGGATCTTCATTTCTCATATTATTAGTAACTCACGGGTGAAATTTCATGAATGTACAAATTTTGTTATTTATATAGAGTGTTTTTGTATTATTTTACATGTACTATAATGGTAAGACGGCAACCTAGGTAGGTTTTAAAAGTTTGTGAATAAATCCCATTCAACCCATTTAAATTACATAAGTATTGCAATCAAACTGTATTTTCAATTCAACCCAAATCTTTTAAGTTAAGTTCAACCTACAACAAGTAAACTCAATTCGGATGAAGAGCGAATGAAACTCAATGGACACAAGGATATCAATAGGAAGGAACTTTCCAGAATTTGGCCTAAATAAGTGAACAAATTTAGTGAGTTTAATATTGAACACTCAGTCGACTATGTGCCAACCCAACTTATAGACACTTCGCCAAGTATAGTTATAAGTAAAGGGCATCTGTCAAGTGTAGCCAACTATATGTAGTAAATAGTTTATTTCTTAAACCAAAGGAGTTCACAAACATTTTAATGTAATAAAAGGTATAATTTACACAAAAACACATGAGGAATGCTTACTTTAAAAACGTATGTTTGTTCTGTACCCATTACTTGGTGTCCCGAGCTTAAGCACGTTAGGCTGTTGGCTTAGAGTGCTTTAGCAAATGACTTGTTTAGAGTCGAGTATAAAATTGCTCAAGTATAATCATTGCAATAACCTAGGTAAAGCATTACAGATGCCAACTTGCCACAACTTACACAAACTAATTTCAACAAATGTACGTTATCATGATATATACAAGTGAAAAGTGTGACTCGTGTGTTACCAGTGTGCGCGTGCCAGAAGAGTGTTCCCGGGTTGTCGGCGTTCATGGTGTACCGGAACGCTGAGATAGGGTTAATGGGACACTGAGTGACGTATGGTACGCCGTCCATGTACGGTGACCGGACCTGGTGATGTCCGTGCCAATGGATACTAGTAGACTCGTCAGCCATGTTGTTCTCCACGTCCACTACAATCTTGTCACCCAGACATACCTAAAAGTAGACATTCTTAAATTGTTAGGGAAAAACCACAAGACAAAGTGTAGAAATGAAAGCCACTAGGTTCTGACCCAGCCTGTTTAACACTTTACTTCACGTTACACTTTGACAGTTGCGGCATCATCACTCAGCTGATATAAGCTAATGGTGATTATTGGGATATGAGCCCGTGATCACCGGGACCCAAACTCCACGCTCTACTACACTAGACCAGCTTGCTCAACCAGTCGTGTAGAGCCTAGGAGATAAGCATATTGAAAACTATATTGACGTTTGAAACACCTCAATGTAATTTTTAAAGGACGAATAAATTGATAACTATCAAATTTGTCCAATAAGTTGTGGATTAAAATTAGTAGAACTGACTAGTACATCATGATATATCTGAAATCCAAGAAAGTTCAACACAATCGTTTACTGTTTTCATTTTAAATGTATTTTTCTCCTTTCTTTATATTCTAGTATTTTTTATTTAATCTGTTTACTGTATTTGTAGTTTTATAATTGTATGGTTTAATGTGTTCTAATTTATATAAGTTTGTTCTACTTTCTTATACAGAGTGCCTCATACTGTAAACAATGTATAAAAATTTAATTTAATAAAACAAAAATGAAGAATACCGTTAATTGTGTTTTATATATTTAACATAGCTTTATAAAATTTGGTATACAATAATAAATCATGCTTTTTTAAAAATAATTGTTTAAAATTTATCTTTAAAAATGGTGGCCTTTAAAATTTTTATAACTTTTATTAATAGAATATGGCTGATTTCATGAAAATAGTTCTGTACCACTTTTATTTGACATCTTTTCCAAGTAATCAATCAAACAGATCCTAATGCAAAAGGATCAAATTTAAAAACCTAAGAAATCACGATTTTGAGTTAAGCCAAGCAAAATAAGGCAAAGCTGTTTATTTGCGCCTCATTTTGCGCCTAAAAATCGTGAATCCTCAGCTATTTATTATTTGATCTTGTAAAACTCAGCTTGATATATACAGGGTGTCCCGTATGTAAACACCCAAACTCCTTAAAATGGCTCTATGGGTAAAAATAAAAAGATAATCAAGAATAACATTTTTTCCAAAATCGCTTCGTTAACCAGTATCCGCCATTTTGTATTTTTTACATAAACATTTTATGTTTGGATTTTTTCAACCGATTCTTATAAAACTTGGTATGTAGGATAAGGTAAAAGGGACCCATCATAGAAAAAATGTCAACTTGATCCAACAAAAAATTTCAAAATGGCGGCCATTTTAATTGTTTAAACTTAAATTACTCAAAAACGACAAATTTGATGAAAGAATGCCAAAATCACTTTTATTTAGAATTTTTAATTCCCTATCAAACGATACCAAGTCCAAAAATATCAAATAAGAAATAGCTGATATATTACGATTTTTAGTTGTAAAATGGGGTAGAATAAGGCAGAAGCTAGTCAGTTTTGCCCCATTTTACAACTAAAATTCATAATATTTCAGCCATTTCTTATTTGATCTTTTTGAACTTGGTATCGTTTGAAAGCGAATTACAAATTCTAAATAAAAGTATTCTTGGCATTTTTTCTTCAAATTAGCCGTTTTTGAGTAATTTAAGTTTAAAAAATTAAAATGGCCGCCATTTTGAAATTTTCTGTTGGATCAAGATGAAATTTTTTCCATCATGGGTCCCTTCTACCTTAACCTACATACCAATTTTTATAAAGATCGGTTGAAAAAGTCAAAAAACAAAAATGTTTATGTAAAAAATACAAAATGGCGGATATCTGGTTAAGAAAGCGATTTTAAAAAAAATGTTATTCATGATTTTCTTTTTATTTTGACCCATATAACAATTTCCCGGAATTTGGCTGTTTACTTACGGGACACCCTGTATATATTCTAAGAGCTAAATAAAAGTTTTCTTTTCATTATTTCATTAAACCGCCCATTACTTAGTAATTTAATTAAAAATATATATATTATATTAAATGGCCAACATTATGAAACGAAAAGTTATGATTACTTTTCGCAAACAGAGTATGGTTAATTTAAAATTGTATACTAAGTTTCATAAATTAAATATATCTTATCAGTTTTCACAATATAAATTAAATCAACAAAAATAAACGACAGATATCTTACTAACGGTATGTTTTTAGGAAAGAAATGCCATTCTTGATTCTCGTTTTGTTTTGACCCATTAAACCTATTCCCAATTTGTTGTACTAACTCACAGAACACCTCGGTTACTTTTTTCTTCTTTTCCTCTATTCTTCATTACTTGCTGTTGAACTATTTCTTTACTTCTTTTTTTTTAGCTTTCAAAACTAGTTAGAGAATCCCCGATATATAAGTTTATATCATATTATATTTCCTCGCTACTGTATAACTCTAAAAGGTTTAAAATGTACTTTAATATTATTGGAAAGTAAAATTCTAAATTAAATAATCACACTGTTTAAGCAACCGATACCTCCACACTAGGTCCTGGTATTTTTCTGTTGACGGTGGTGATCGGTCTAGCGACCCCGTCCAGCGACACGCAGTCCGGTCTGTAGCAATCAGTTACATTCCTAGGACAATCGTAACACGCCTTGCTCATGGCGAAGTACTTCTCCACAGTAAACTTGTAAATACACGTCATCGGCTCCCCCTCTACACACACCCTGTTGCAGGGGTGGTGTTCCACGTCGGGGAACTGGTAGTGGGGCTCATCCTCGGCCACGGCTGGAGAAATAGTTTGGATAAAGTTGTGGAAATGTTACTTATAGAAGACATATACGGTACATAATTTTACGTCAACAGTTAAAAAGGGGTAGTTAAACTCTCAACACATTTCACCCATTTATTCAGGCATCATCTGGTGAACTCTAAACAAGAACGGAGTCGATCATCCATTCCAACATCATCAACGATCATCCAACCTTCAAACAAATATAACGCACGAAAACGTTCTTTTGTAGCATGAAATATGTATGTCGTGTATTTTTTTTTTTTTTTTTTTTTTTTTTTTTACGACTCTTAAATGGATGAAGCATTCTTGTTAGGAGTTCACCAGTCGATGCCTGAATAAATAGTCGAAATATGTTGTAAATTTGACTACCACATTTGCACTGTTGACGTAAAGGTATGTGTACCTTATATTTGTCTAATTAAACAGTTCAGGGGCTATATAATGAATTCTAATTAGTTATAGAAACCATACCTTATGAGTTTTATACAACTAAATTAGTTGTTAGGCAAAAGCTCAATAACAATGCTGCGTGGTTGGTTGGGTGGTGGGTAAATATTCACGAAACTAAATACGGTTGGCAACTTATTTAAAGCAATTAAGTTATGGACGTAATTTAAAACTTTGTGAGATTTTCGGTTCCATATTTTTCAACATAAGCAATAGTTGATTCAACATTCCGAGACGTTATTTGTGTTAATACACTTTGAGCAAATGTTGTTGTATTTCACTAACACAAATGGGTAATACTAACTAATGGTAAAAATCGGTACTTTCCTGTTAAAGGGAACATTCATTATTATCAAAGATTTTTAATCAATATATCAATATTTTTCTTTCCCTTTATGATCCATTACAAATTGACAACTATCTTGTTTAGGCTAAAATCAAGTCTATTATGAATTTAAACTGTTCTAAGCTAACCTAACATAACCAATCAAACTTGCTGTACCATTTTAAAAATTCCGTTTGATTACAGAAAAGGCATGTGGGGAATATTAAACGGAATTTTTAAATGTTACAGAAAGTTTGGTTAGTTTTGTTAGGCTGGTTTGGAACAGTTTCATTTTAATATATTTTTTTATACTGAACAATATTTATTTATCGTAGTTGTCAGCTGATAGGTTTTAATTCGTTAATATCGATATATCGATTGAAAATCATCGATAATAATGAATGTTCCCTTTAACAGGAAAGTACCTAAAAATCTAATACTAATAATAATATTATCACTAATACTAATAATGGCTAATATTAATGACTAGTGACTCACACAAATAGTTAAGTCAAATAAATCAAATAAAATAATAAAAAACTACACTCATTGTTTTTTTTTATATTTTTTATTCAAATTGGAATGTTTGTAAGTCAATGAATTTGATAACACCATCATGCAATCCTATCTTTGATCTCTCTTGTCAAGGATTTTTTTGCGTTTATACAAGTCATAAGAAAGAAGAAAAATATTCCGTTTCATAACAAAATTACATGTTACTTTTTGCTTTTGGATCGGTCAAGTGTTACACCTGTTTTGTACTTAGACAAAAAAAAGGATAATTGTTGTGTATGTTGACATTACACATCAATATACAAAGGAATGTAACAATTTTTAAGTTCTTTTTCATGATGTCATTATATAATTATGACTTCAGCTTAAGTTAAATAGGGTTAAAACTTGTAAATGGAATTACAGCACAAGTTAACTTAGTTTGGCCAACAAGTGACTTTTAAAACAAATGTAACTACGATAATTAACTACGTATTCGGGTATACAGAAAAACCTTGCGTTTGTATTATTCATTTCGGTTTGTTGATGCAGTTGCAAAACAGTCTTTAAAGATACAATTTTCCCGTAAACAGTAATTTAGTTAGATTTACTTATATCTTTAAATTAGGGTTGAAAACAGTAAGTCGTTTTTTATTGATGATTAAAGACATCCATTTTTCCATAAACCTTATTAAGAATAATTCTCATGTTATTATTTTTAGGTAATCCGTCTCTGAACGATAAAAACCCTGCTACTCACCGATATTTAAAGTTGAACTCCAAATAACCACAAATGATAGCCATACATGTTTAGTCATGTTTCCTGAAAACATTTACAATTAATTAAGCAGATGTATCAAATAGTCCAAGATGTAGCCTATTCCTGAAAATGACGCAATAAGAAGCTTAAACTTTGTTTAATAAGTTACACTATTTCGTTTTGGCTTTTATTTTTTTTACATTGTTTAACAATGTTTTTAAATGTTGACAACTTTAACATTGTTTTAGATCAGAAGATATACGTTTTTACTGTAACCTATTACTAAACTCAACAATCCTTTCCTTGGCTAGTAAAATATTATATTTCATTACGACAGTAGAAAGTGAGTCATATTTGACACCATATTTGAAGTGCACATTTGTAGAGCACATTAAATGGTCGAGAATATGTGTAGACTTACTTTTAATCGTGTTTTGAACGTTACTTTTCGCTACACCACAAAGACTAGTTAGTTTCTTAATTAAAACAGAAATTGGTTATCTCTTGCATTTATTTAAGTTTATTAAGTTATTAAGTGCTTAAATTTAAAGTTCAATGGTTCTTTGGTTGTTGAAAATTGAAACAGTTGACCAAACAATGAGAAATATTTGTTTACGTCAGGCAAAATCCAAAAAAGATAGTAAACATTGCTTTCGCATAGTAAACATTCTTTTTCCTTAGTAATTAATGTAATGATGAATTTTCGCAGTTGATAAACATGTTTCACAGTAGTGTAGCGAAAATAATATTAAATCGCTTAGTAACATTAAGAAGTATAATGCAAAAAGGAATAAAGGTAGACATTATATCTCATTAAAACGTAAAACAAACCATTGTCATCTACGACAAACTTGCGTTACTCATGTACTAATTTTGAAATTTTTTACCAGCTTTACATTTTTCGTTTATTGAATCAGATCGAATATATAATACTTCGTAATTTTCAATAATTTATTGATAATATAAGTAACAGTTTAAAGCACAGTATTTCTTTTCTTGTGTATATCCTTACCTGCGCAGTGAAGAAGCCGTTGTGCCAAAGACTGTCTATTGATTCCATTGTTGTAAGGTTTATTCAGCTGGGTATACGTCATTTAATTAACAGCTTGCATTATTAGGAAGGCATTGTTCTTTTTGAGCAATACCTCCACTCTTAATAAGAGTGCACAGATATCCAAAGTATATGTCACACTCGTATACCTTGGGCTACATCGACAAAAATAACACGGTTTTTTTACATTTAAAATATACCAATTCATTGTATGGTAAGACTATAAATATGTATATAATGACAACTATTGAAAACATTAGATAAAAAATATACAGGGTGTGTTTTTACTAAGTGCGTTAATTTTTCCAATTATTCTGCCCACAAAAAGGGACAACAAATTCCAACCCGTATATTTATTTGCTGCAAGTTTAAATGTTGTACATGTTGGTTTGGATTGTATGTTTGTTTTAAAGAAGCTACTACAAGTAAATTACAAGTAAAAATACACATAATCAGCCATTACAACTTAACAGTTGGGGTTGGAAAATTTGTATTTAACATTTTTTATTCGTTTTAGCACAGAAAACATTTTCCGTGTCGTCCCATCTGGTTATCACACGCCCGCTAAACAAACCACTTTATACGAAACAGTTTTCACATTACTTCAGACAAGGCATACAGGGTCGCTAGGTTATCACTTAGACAGTCTCCATTGGTGATTGGTGGGATTTGAACCTAGTGGATTTCTTTATGGAAAGTAAATAAAGATACGTCTTATAACACCTAAAACATATGTTTACGCTTATACTGCTACTCGCAAGACGGTAAATATACAAAAGATGGCAGGTGGTGATCGATTTCGATTGGACACTCCAATCATCATCAGACCCAATAGGCGAATGACAGTTTTCTGTCCATGATAGATTTCTTTATCTAAAAAAACCTACAAACGTTAAAAAAGAAGTAGTACATCCAACTGATATTTAATGTGTACTCATGATCAAATCAAAGGTTCCACTGAAGCAAAATTAAAATACAATAACGTCAAATTAGGAAAAAACTAGAAAATTGGCATCATTCTAAGATTAATGAAGATTAACAATGACTGTACGTTTCACGTTTCTAGCTTAAACAGTATCAAGATTATGTATATGCGAAGAAGTATAGTTTAAATATCCCTACATGTTTATGTAAAATCAATAAACAATAAAGAACTTACCAAATCCCAAGCTTCCTTCAAGGATTATTTGAGTTATTCTTGTTAAATCTTTGACACTTTTTTGAAATATCTGTAGTTATAAAGTTATTAAGCTACCTGGCTCTAGCAAAGTTATGAATTACATTTTATAAATTATCCTTATCTTCTGGTATTTATCTAACAAGCAAAATAAATGTTTGCTATTGTGAAATCGGTGCATATCACCTGATCAAATGTGCACTTTGATTCCTATTTTGTGGATTAATAAATACTTTGTTTCCTTGGATTGAAAAGGCGTTCTGTTTTGCCTGAAAAAGTAAAGTAGAAGTCAAACACGCGCCTAACGAGCGTCTGTGGAACTGAAACCATTAATCTTTCACCAGTTTCAAGGTTTATTGGTCACGTGAGCAATGGAGGTAGCTTTTCACTCCGTGAAGAAATGTAGTAAGAAGTTACTGCTGACAATTATTGTAAAAGTGCACCATCTGAAACATTCCAACAAAATATTTATTTAGCATAAAGTGCACGAGTGTTCTGATGTAAATATAAAACAATTAAGTTTTCGGTAATGTGTTAATATTTACCTTGTGTATCACATAAACGGATTTATACGAGTATTTTAGCAGTTTATAAGGATTTTTATGATTGGTACCATCAGGGTAAGTAAAGAATTTGTCGATTGAAAGTAACTTTACTATACTATTACTATTTTTATTTTACAGCAATGATAGTAAAAGTTATTTTAATATATCTGAAATATATGTATATACAGGGTTGCTAGTCATCAGTGTTACACATCTTTTGGTGTAAGTACAAAGTAAATGAAGTGTGATGATGCATATAAGAGGTTCCAAATCTAAAAATTAGCTTCCCAAAGAATTATTTTTTTCTATAATAACCATGTTTTTAAACACGATACAGCGAATCCTCAATTACCTGCAATCGGACTTGAGTAGATTATGTCATTTTCATGTTCTACAATAAAATTTCAATAATAATCATTGAAAATGTTGGATGACCAATACTAACACAACATTGACAACTAACATGAACCTAAATCAAATAACAATAATAACGCACTCTGTTGTTACGCACACTGCACTTTGTTGTAAGATCAGTTTTTTATTTTGTATGTAAACCTCAATTGTAAAACGTTCATAAATTAAAATTAAGATCATAGATAAAAATTGTTAAATAATTGGTTTATTGTATTTTTCGACACCCTGTATACGAGAAGGTAGCTAAATATGTAAAAAACTGCTCCATTTATATATATATATATATATATATATATATATATATATATATTTATATATTAATATGCTTTCGAACCATATGCGACACTATTGAGGTTTAGATCTGTTAATGTTCGCTTAGTGGTTTGAAGACTCCATAGATGCCACTTGATAGTAGGCATGTAAGCAGCATAATCCAGTCATTTTAGGTAAAAATACCCCTCTTAGAGAAACTTTGCACATGTGTACAAATAGTACTCAGAAACAACATATAGAAAATCAACATTCGTTTATACTGTGGTAGGCTACAACCGCCATCTTCGAAAATGGAAGCTGATTTTCAATTTTCTAACATTGTGTTTTAAAACATGGCTATTAAAATAGAAAAATCTTTGGGAAGCCAATATTTAGACTTGATATGCTCCTTATATGCATTATCACACTCCATTTAATTTGTACTTACACCACAACATTTTGTAACACCAGCCACCCTATAGTGTATATGTATATTCAATCAGTCCAATTAAAGATTCAGTTGTTTTAAAATCATTGAAAACCTTATTACAAATCTAAAAATTGCTATAACGTTTATATCTGAGGAAATATTATGAATGCATTTTCATGTAAAGCTTTAAACTCTGTTTTATCTATGCAATGTTGACTGTACAAGAGTATTATTATCTATTATGAATATACATTAATTGTATATGCAATCAAATATGTGTAAATATACCCCCCAATAGAAACAACAGATTGAAAATATTTTTAATTTTTGTAGAAGTAGTGGAAGAATGTGGTGAATAGAATTGTTTATCCACCAATTAAAAAGTCATAGTTTAAATTATTTTACTTGGCATTTTCAATAGTAACAGTTTTGATTCATTAGAATAATCGTATCTTCCTTTAAACATGAATAATGTACGCATTATCTATCGACTGGAGGTACTGTACTATCGACTTTCATAAGATGGTTGTACTAGAGCGCGAGCTTTCCTCATCGGTTTTCACCTTGGCTTTACTTTCAAGGTTGCATTGCACTTGTTAATCAGTCGATTATTGTGCACTTCTAACTCAACACTCGTGTTTGAAGTGTGGCATTGTCCAAATTTAATCTTGTTGTACCTTGCGTGTAGCAAACCATTTAGTAAAACGCAATCATAGTTGAATAAAATAATACTAGTTTATTTCAAAATACTTTTCACCTTATATTTTTGTAGGACACTTCTGTAGTCAATTATATAAGATTTCTGTAGTATAAATAGCTCAAAGTATATATCATGTATTTTTTGACATCCTTTAGTTAAGACCTAGTAAAGCGATTCACCCTTTTTCAGATTCACTTTACGTCTATTGCACGTTTTACGTCACGCATAAAATGAAAAGAAAGGTGACACCAGTGTGCGGAATGGCCATTTACAGAATACGTCACGACGGAAGAATGCCTCAACTTCATAAAAATAAACTTGGCACTTACACTTTTACCCTTTTCACATCTTTATACCTTCAGTAAATGTTATTGCTGTGCAAAGACGGATTCTTAGGATTTAGCGTGTTTAGTTTTATTGTGAGATGAACTAAGAATTTCAATTTTTTTACATTAAATTTAAAAATATATATATATTTTTAGGTAAATAGTTAGTAATAAGATGAAGGTAGAAAATTGTTAACATATAATTTAATTGGGATTCATCACACGTTTAAGTTCCTAACTCATAAACGCACTGTTGTAAATGATCATCATTGAATGTCTGAGAATAGTTCAAGTAATATATAGATTTCATATTGAGGTAAGGAACGAGACATTTGATGTAATAAAAAAGTTTGATTGAATTTTACCCTCACAATTGTTATTTGACAAAAAATTTCCAAAAAAATTCCCTTTCATGTACTATCTTAGTTTTCATGTCCGATAGTTAGTACAACCATTTTGAAGACTTTAAATATTAATGGAATGTTATATGGGTTAAATAAGTTGTTTCTTTTGTCAATTGGAAGTTAATTGTGTGCATATCAAGCATTGGTCAGTATAACAGTAAATAACTTCTTGATCAGCATCGTAAGTGTTATTAAATTACCTGAAAAATACATAAATATATAGTCTAATAACACTTGCAATAATATAATTACACTTATACTGTTGACTTACAAGACGGCAAATACATATAAAAGTTGGGAAGTGGTGATCGATTTCGATTGGACACTCCAATCATCATCAGACCCAATGTATTGTACCATGTTACCAAAACATGAAATACCATAAACATATTTACTAAAGTATATTACTAGCACTCCCTAAAGGTTTCAACTCTTTTCAGCCAATAAGACAGATATAAAAGTTGTCCGTGTTGTTACAATTACCTGTAATAGTTCATTGACGTCAGAATAAATATTGACAGTACTGATCTTTTAAGTTAGGTACTTCTGAGTCGAGAATAAAAAAGTCCAATTAAAACATTCAACTGCTATTGGCTAGCCAAGCGTTAATCGAATTTCCAATTGATGAACAATTATTGATAATTGTCAGATTGTCACTAACTAACAAAGTTGTTGGTTTCTAATTAATAGTTTGTTGGATGACACAAGAGGATGACAGATGGTTGTATCCTTTGAGTTTTTGC